GAGAAGTTTAAACCTATATCGTTGGACTTTTGGTGGCCTCCAAAACTTGCAGTTCTGGATGGTTCTGAATCTGAAAGTGGGGCTGATGTTTTGATTTAGCAAGTTGGCATTTAAGTTGGGTCCAGGCAAAATAGTTCAATGCAAAGGAAGAAAACAACACAATAAGAACCTGAAAACTGAAATAGCTTTTTGTTTGTTAATTCTCTTTAAATCATTGGCCACTTAATAGAAACCTTGGAGTTCATGGGAGCTATAATCTTATGAATTAGCTAAAAATGCTCATTAAATTATGTTCTGTATTAGAAATTATAGCACTCATAACATAGAAATTATTTTTCAGGAATTGGTCAGAGTATCTGTCCTTGAAAAAGGTTCTAGGAATTCTGGGTATTATTGTAAGTAGTGCCAGCAGATGTTGAATGCTAAGTATTGCTTGCCTTTCATTCATTAATTTTGTATCTTCCAATATTAACACCATTCATACCTTTAAGACTTGAATTAAAATTGCAGTTGTAGCAAATCTATGTTCATAATTCCGTCCAATAAAACTCACTACTACTTTTTCAGTAGACATGGACTTAGTAGTTTCCTCAGTAGTTCTCAGCTAACTATTTGATGTCATTCAAATCTGAATGTGAAAATTTGAATTTATCCAAAATATTAGTGTAGTTATTTTCTTTATAAAAGTTTTCTTTTTAATTCTCACCTGAGGATATGTTGTTCAATTGATTTTAGGGAGAAACATTAATCGGTTGCCACCCATACACACCCTGACCCAAAAATCTACAACCTGTTGGTTCATGGGACAACACTCCAACCAACTAAACCACCAAGCCAGGCCAAAGGCTTTTTTATTGTATGAAAGAATTCACAATGGATTTCCTTTTAATTGTCATCCATGTGTAACTACACTACTATTGAAAACATAAGTAGTGAAGCCCACTAAGGCATTAAAAATTCAGTGTGCCTTTTTAAAATACTGAACCCTTTTTATGCCCTCACATATTTAATTTATAAAGTATATGTATTCATACTTTTCCCTCTCCATTATAATTAAGGTTTTTAAGGGCTGGAGTCATGCCTTACCTTACTTCTAATAACTCTTTGTTGTAATATGACAATAAGAATCTAGTTGCTATTACTATTTTCTTTTGTGATCCCAAGTCATGGGGTATAGCACATGATAAGCCTCCCAATGGGAACGGTATGATTTTAGGGACAGGCATCCAGAGGACTTCAGAGATTGTTGTTATTCACCAAAAAGTTCGATTAGATTATCTTAAATTCTCAGAAATAGCTCCTCTGGGGCAGCTTATTATTCTAATGGTACACTTACCATTAGACATTTAATCTTTCTTTTAGTTATTGAACTAATCTTGGACTACTCCATCTGGGAGAGCCTTGAGAAGTTTAGACAAAATAAACTTAAGACAAAGCCTAGACAGAATTTTGTCAGAAAAACTAAGGGCCATAAAATGCAGCCAGTGATTTCATTTAATTCAGCATATCTTTTGCTTATGAACCAAAGTGAGAGTAGAAATTTTCCAAAGTGAAGAGTGAAGATTTTATTTGTTTTGTGAATGCAAAAAGAATCCACACCTAATGATTCAGCAAGAAAATTGAGCTAATTTTGTTAGAACCTGGAATCATTAAAGGAAAGATATTCAAACATCTCTAAATTGTCTGTGTTCATGATAGATAAATGTGGTGGTGATGGATTACTTTTTAGAATTATATTTTGTCCAAATGGTTGATTGTTTTTTCGGGATTAAATTGCTTTATTACATCAGTAGATAATTCCAAGTATACTGTTAAAAAAGAGGAAGGAAAGAAGTTACATTGGAAGCATGTAAAAACCTCTTTCCAAATAAATTCTGATTCTGACTGGTAGGAAATAGTTTTGTAATGGACTCTATACAGAACAATGAAAAGGGAAGATCTAAGATTTTCTTTTTTTATATATTTTATTGATTTTTTACAGAGAGGAAGGGAGAGAGATAGAGAGCTAGAAACGTCGATGAGAGAGAAACATCGACCAGCTGCCTCTTGCACACCCCCTACCGGGGATGTGCCCGCAACCAAGGTACATGTCCCTGACCGGAATCGAACCTGGGACCTTTCAGTCTGCAGACCGACGCTCTACCACTGAGCCAAACCGGCTTCGGCTAAGATTTTCTTTTTTGAGCTTTTGTGAACTTTTTTATTTTGGTGAACTTTTTTTTTTTTTTTCAGTTAAAAAAATACACATACATATACAGACATGCTCCAATAAAACTTTATAAAAATAAACAGCCAGCCCTAACTGGTTTGGCTCAGTGGATAGAGCATTGGCCTGCAAACTGAAGGGTCCTAGGCTCAATTCCGGTCAAGGGCATGTACCTTGGTTGCAGGCACATCCCCAGTAAGGGGTGTGCAGAAGACAGCTGATCGATGGTTCTCTCTCATCGATGTTTCTAACTCTCTATCCCTCTCTCTTCCTTTCTGTAAAAAATCAATAAAATATATTTTTTAAAATAATAACATAACATAGGTTCCAGCCCCTGTTGTAATATGTGGAAACAGTTAAGTACATTAGAGTATATTAATTAGTGGTAAGTGCTTTGGGAAAAGAAATCTAGAGCAGAGTAATCAAATACCGTGTTTCCCCGAAAATAAGACATCCTCCGAAAATAAGACCTAGCGCATGGAAAGATAAGACATCCCCTGAAAATAAGACCTAGCGCAACTTTGGGAGAAAAAATATAAGACACTGTCTTATTTTTGGGGAAACAAGGTAGTATAGTGAGGTGTACGTTGGCGGGGTGGGTGGGCTTCACTGAGATCAAGAAGAAGAATCAGTAAAGGAGACTAAAAAGTTTGTGACTGGTAAGATGGGAAGAAAACCAAGAGATGGTGATGCCCTGGAAATGCAGTGAAGAAACATTTGGTAGGAAGAAGAAGGGAATATCTGTCAGCTGTTGCTGATAGTCTAAATAAGAAAAAAGCTGAGATTGGATTTAGCTATGCATAGTTTATTCGTGACTTTGACGAACAATCTTGGTAAGTAGGTCCAAGAAAGAATTGAATGAGTGAAAACAGAGTAAGTCTTTTGAAGATTTTGTTGTAAATGGAGCAGTGGGGGGGGGGGGGGGGGGAGGATCAAGTGAAGAGTTTCTTTAAGATAGAAGAAATAATGACATACTTGTTTGGAAATCATCCAGCAAATAGTAGGGGAAATGATATGGGAAAGGAGAGAATTGACGGAGCTGTGGCTTTGAGTTGGAGAGAAGATGGGATCTGGTAGAGGAGTACATGTGCTGAAGCGTCTAATGTTCTCATATGGCTTTAATTTTCTGTTTTAAAAAATTATCAGTAAAGAATATGAAAGTTGAAGTATTGTCTTTAATTTTTAATACCAGCATTTGAGGGATCTTTGACTCACTAAAATAACTTTTTAAAAATTTTATTTATTTATTTATTTATTTATTTATTTTTGAGGGGGAGAGAGAAACATCGATTTGAGAGCAGAGCATCTATTGGCTGCCACCTGCATGGGAATCGAACAGGAAACCTGGGCATCTGCCCTATCTGGGAATCAAAGCAGCAACCTTTTGGTACACAGGATGATGCCCAACCAACTGAGCCACACTGGCCAGAGCTAAAATGGCTTGTATTGTGCCTTTTGATGGAGTTTTAAACTTAACCCAGCAAATTTGTATATTTTAAGGATTAAACCTTACATTATGAGATTAAATAATGATGCTTGTAATACCTGGGTGATTAGAGGACGTAGAATTCATATGCACTGAATGCACTAAACTAAGCTTGCTTTATCTATTTGGTCCCAAAAGATAAATTTATAATTTTAAATGTTAGACTTTGACAATAGTAAAATAAATATGCTAAATTTAAATCAGTAGATTCTTTGGCATCTCTCCAAATGTTCCTTCTACTTCATAGTGTGGTCTCTCTTTGTAACTTAGTGATATTGGCTCCAGTGATCAGGGAGTATTGATCAGAGCCTCTAAAGATGAATGCTTGTTCTTACACATTCATTATTTTATCATATTGCTATGTTAATTTCTTTGTACAATGCAAATTATTTTTGTGTATAGTATCCTCCTATAGATTGTAAGTTCCCGGAAGGTAGGTAATAACACTTGTAAATTTCCAAGAAAATGACTTATAGGTTGTATGTAGATGGTATTCAGTAAGTATTGTGATTACTGAATCAAGGTTTCATAATCTTTTATTAAACTTAGATACTCAGTTCTAATTGTAGGCATTGCTCCAATTCAGGACTAAAACCCACTGCTCTGGAAAATTCTGGAGCTAAATTATGTTATTGGGCTAAATGGTTGTTAATTAGAATACCTCCAAATGTAGCTATCCCAAATAAATTCCAGAGGGAGGTAGTAGTCAAATTTCACAGTTCAGCACATAATAATAGAAGCATATTTGGCACACACAGCTGTTGAAATGCCATAAAAACTAGTGTTATGATAATTGAAGTTGTTAGAGAATAATACTCAACTAATTCTAGCATATTGAAAATCAAAGTAAGATAGTTGACTTTGTATAACTATGAGAAAATAGCCTTGGTTACTTTCACTGGCTTTATCAAGGAAGTAATGAGTGAAGTCAAAGAAGTGATACTCTTAACCAAATACTAGAGAATCTAGTTGTAGCCAAGAACTGTTTGGGAAGGGTAAGCTGAAACAGCTATTTCATTCTGTAGTAGCCAATGTAATTAAGAGAAGTGAGAGAACTACTTCTTTTATAAGCAGCAACTATGAGGCTTTAATCACAGGTTGCTGCTAAAGAAAAGGTTTAAAGGGGCTATATTTAAATTCAGGAGGTAACATTTCATGCAAATGACTGAGAAATTCTAAATCTATTCAAATCTGGATTTCCATCACATTTATAAGTTATTTCTAAAGCATCAGATTTATGGGAAATATTGAAAAAGTATTTTTTAAAAATCTGTCCTGTGTTGAAACTTTGTTTTCTTTGTTTCATAGGTCCAGTTGTGTACGTCTTGGACCTTGCAGACAGATTGATCTCAAAAGCCTGTCCATTTGCTGCAGCGGGAATCATGGTTGGCTCTATCTATTGGACAGCTGTGACTTACGGAGCAGTGACAGTAATGCAGGTTCACTACTTTACTTAATTCAATTACATTACCTTTTTCTTTTTTTTAACTCATAAAGGAAGGGAGAGGAGTAGAGAAACATCAGTGAGAGAAAATAATTGATTGGCTGCCTTCTATATGCCTCCTATTGGGGATCTAGCCCCAAACCTGGTCATGTGCCCTGACAGGCAGTCGAACCATGATCTTCTGCTTCATAGATTAATGCTCAACCACTGAGCAACACCAGCCAGGGCAAGGAGTTTTAAAATTTATTTTGGACAAATAATAACTTTCTTGTGATCTAAAAATAAGAAAGTATATAAAAAGTTGTTTAATATCCAGAATTGCCACAATTTATAACCAGTGTCTTGTTGATTAGAAAATTTGTTGCTTCCAGTAACTGTTGATGAAGATTAAAGACATATTTTAAGGTTTAAGGTTTAATTCCAGGCCCTTGACTCTTCATTATATACCTCGTCCTTAAATATTTTCAACCATCATCTCTGTTTTTTTGTGTTCTGATCAATGTCTTTTGCCCTAATCTTTCCTCGTATCCATTTCTATAATAGCAGCATAATCCTTCTCCTTTAAAAGGACTTCTTATGGCTTCACACTCAATATTATGAAATCAAACTTGTCTTTTCTCAATTTAAAATCTAAACTTAGTTCCTATTATAATTTATCTATACTTTTAATTCCTGTTATTTTTTCACCTACTCAACTTATAACCTACATTCTTAGCCTTTAACTTTCTACTGCATAGCCCTCCCTATATGCAGTCCACTGACCAAGACCAATCAGTTTTCATTTTGATGTTTTACATCTGTGGTTTCCTTTCCACAGTTTTTACCTCATAATTTCTTGTCATTCTCCCATCATAACCTGGATAGCTAAAGGAGCCTCTTAATTGGTTTTATTTTCTTCTATCAATCTATCCCTTCAAATGAATCTTCCTAAAATAATACTTTCAACATCTTATTTCAAGCTCACCATCTCTTCTGCCTTAAGTACTGCTCAAAAGTAGCACCTAGATTGGTTAAGCATTTCCATTCTAGTAACCCAAGAAACACACTTATGTTTATAAATGCTATAATTTGCTTTTCTTTCATATGAATTAGTGCATGGAAGAAAACCAAGTTAAAGCAAGTCCTCAAATAATGTTTCATTCAACAACATTTTGTTATGTTGATAAGATACTGTAGGAATTTCACTCTTGTTTAAATCAATTAGCCTATGGTCAAGTTAGTTTCATTATTCATCATTTCAGTTAAAAGTCACAGAACCTGCCCTAGTTGGTTTGGCTCAGTGGATAGAGCGTGGGCCTGCAGACTGAAGGGTCTCAGGTTCAATTCTGGTCAAGGGTAAATGACTGGGTTGTGGGCTTGATCCCCAGTAGGGGACATGCAGTAGGCAGCCGATAGACGATTCTCTCTCATTGATGTTTCTGTCTGTTTCTCCCTCTTCCTTCCTCTCTGAAATCAATAAAAATAAATTTTTTCAAAAGTTACAGATCCTGCACTGACCCGTTTGACTCAGTGGATAGAGTGTCAGGCCATGAACTGATAGGTCCTGTATTTTATTCCGGTTGAGGACATGTACCTTGTGGAGAGTATGCAGAGGTAGCTGATCTATGTTTCTCTCTCATCGATGTTTCTAACTCTCTGTCCCTCTCCCTTCCTCTCTGTAAAAAATCAGTATATATATGTATATATAGTTACAAATCCTGTTGACACCATTAAAGTGAGGACTTACTGTATATATGTAATATTCTAAAAATTGCACATAACTGATCTATATCAGGGTCCATAGTAAGCAGCCTTTCTGGTTGCTCCATCAGTAGCCATTGTGAAACAGCATTACAAGGCTTCTTCATAAAATCTTGATGACAACCAAAAATCTGGATGTAGTTACTGGAATGAATCACAGATAGTAAGATGTCATTTGTGGTGAGTGTGGTAAATAAAGATAGAGAACCACTGATTTGAAAAGATCCCGCTTTCTTAACCTGCTTTGTTATGTAGAATCCTCCATAGTCTTACTTCATGCTCTTTTGAGAGCCTGTTGGGTTGTCTCCTCCCAGCCCATCCTTATTTTGTTTAGATGTTTTTATCTCTGTCCTTTGGCTTATGTTCCTGCCTCATACCTGTGCTTCCAGTTCTCTCTCTACTAATCCAACTCTAAACTCTCCTTTCAGGCTTAGTTCAGCCACTTTTCCTCCATGAAACTTGCCCACTGTGGTTTCTCCTTCCTCTGCATTGGTGACTTTTTTTTTTCCTCAAATGGCAGCTAATCTTATGCTGACGTACATAAAAGTTACATATTTCTTATATAGATTACCTAAATTATTTAACTTTTCCTATATTCAGGCCTTACTTTTCCTTTTAGAAGATAATTTGCTTAAAAGTAGAGACTATCTTACACTCATACATTCCTATGTAGCATATAACAGAGAGTTAACATTTTAATGTTTTCGTGAATATTGATTTTTTTTACATGATCAGTTCTATCAGGTGTAACAGGATTATTTTCTAAGCAATAATTAGTTTCTAATGATTATCGGTACATCATTAGGTCAAGGAAGTCCAGGACAATTCTAGGACAGAACTTAGAGCAGATTTTACATTATTTAATGTACAAATACATTACAGGTTTATATTTGTTACAGAAGAGGAATCTAGGCACTCTGAGACTGATTTCTCTTAAGACCTAAATGACTATAAGAAATGGGATGGCTCTTTTTGAGAAGATGACTTTAACTCAATCTTCAAAGATTTCTTATAATTAATGAGACACTACAACACAAGTCAATTAAGGAATATAGTTTGCATCCTCCAAAAAGGGCTACCAGTTGTATCATGATATTTTGAACAATATTGGTATGATTCAGTCAAAAAGTTAACACTGACTGAAAGTCTCCATAAAATATAAAACAAATTGAAAGCCCTGATCCCCAGCCTCAAGGTACGTAGTCTAAGATAAGATGGACAAAATAAATAACTGGAGAAATTATAAGTAAGGTTCCATAAATAATTGTGATGAACATAGAAGACTATATAAGCAGTCTTGTATTCAGTGAAGTGAAAAATCATTTGAATTTATGAAAAAGATAAGTCTTGAGCTGACCCTTGAAGAAAATAATTTGGATTGGTAGAGGAAAGAAATGATACAAGTACAGAGATTAAAATGAACATGATGGCTAATTGTGACAGTAAAAAAAAAAAGAAAAGAAAAAATCTTGAAATTATGATAATACATTTATATATTAGGTGTTATCATTTAGAAATAATCTTTACATGTATTATCTCGCATGAAAGGATATTTTTTTAAGCTCAGAAATGAGATAGATTGTGGACAGTAGGTAGTACTGTGTGTTACTGAAGAGCATTAGGAAGACTTTTACCTCCCTGAGCATATTTATTAGGGAATGTGTCATCAGCAGTATTTAGGGTTTTCTCTTTAGCACTTTGCTGTTACTTTTCCTTTTGTTCTCTTATTACTATGAGGTAAATCAGATTAAGGAATCACAACTATTCTCTTTATTATTGAAAGTATTACTTTTTTTCCCCTCATTGCCCTCTCAACCCCTTCCCTCCAAGCCTTCTCCACCCTCTTGTTTATGACTGTGTGTTATGTATGCACATATGCGCTCATTGGTTGATCTCCCCACTCCCCACCATCCACCATGCCTGCCTTCTTTCCCCTGAGGTTTGACACTCTGTTCAACGTTTCTAGGTCTCTGGGTCTATTTTTGTTCTTCAGTTTATGTTGTTCATTAGATTTCACAGATGAGTGAGATTGTGTGATACTTTCTCTGACTGGCTTATTTTTCTTAGCATAATGCTCTCTAGGTCCATTCATGTGTAAATGGTAAGGGTTTTTTGTTTTGTTTTTACAGCTGCATACTATTCCATTGTGTAGATGTACCATTGTTTTTTAATCCACTCATCTGCTAAAACTCTTAGCCTTTCAGCATTGGTGAACTGTACTTAGGCCATTTTCAAATCCTAGCTATTGTAAATTGCATTGCTGTGAACATAGGAGTGTATATATTCTTTCTGTTGGGTGTTTCTGAATTCTTGGGATAGATTCCTAGAAGTGGGATCACTGGGTCAAATGGTAGTTCCATTTTTAATTTTTTGAGGAAACTCCAACTGTTTTCCACAGAGGCTGCACTTGTTTGCATCCCCACCAGTAGTGTACCAGCGTTCCCTTTTCTCCACATCCTGGCCAGCACTTGTCGTTTGTTGATTTGTTGATGATAGCCATTCTAACAGGTATGAGGTGGTATCTCATTGTCATTTTGATTTGCATCTCTCAGATGATTAGTGACTTTGAGCAATTTTTCATGACTTTTGGCCTTCTGTATGTCCATTTTGGAGATATTCCCATTTATTTTTTCATGAACAAGTCATAGTTTCAATTTCTGTTAATTGTGAGGAACTTAAATAGAATTTCACTTACATTTTTATTGAAAAGACAATAGGCTGAAGACCTTTCAAGCACTGATGCATTTAATCTTTGCAACAGAATTGTGTCATATATACTATCAATTATTCCTTGTTTACAGGTGTGAGGTGGTACCTAATTGTTGTTTTGATTTGCATCTCTCGGATGATTAGTGACTTTGAGCATGTTTTCATATGCCTCTTGGCTTTCTGTATGTCCTCTTTAGAAAAGTGTCTACTAGAATTTAGGTCCTTTGCCCATTTTTTGATTGGATTGTTTATATTCCTTTTGTTAAGTTGCTTTGTATTTCAAACCCCAGATTCTAAACAGAATTCATAACCCAGCAAATGAATTTTCAAATGTGTTTGCTAATTCTTTGAGAGTATTTAAATCACATTCAGTTATAACTTTAAAGTGATCATTATATTGAAAATAATAAAGTGATATAAAAAATGGAATGTCCTAGAAAAGCATTATAGATAAAGATGGTCTGTTGGCTAATCTGCCAGTATTGAGTTAGGTTTATGAATATTGTGAGCCAGACTATTTCATTTTAGAGCAACTCAAGACAATCACACTTTACATGCAAGATGTGAAGTTGTGCCAAAACCGGTTTGGCTCAGTGGTAGAGTGTCGGCCTGCGGACTGAAAGGTCCCAGGTTCGATTCCGGTCAGGGGCATGCACGTTGGTTGCGGGCACATCCCCAGTAGGGGGTGTGCAAGAGGCAGCTGATCGATGTTTCTCTCTCATTGACGTTTCTAGCTCTCTATCTCTCTCCCTTCCTTTTCTGAGTAGTTTCTAGTCTTCCCTACCTCCTTTCCTCTTTGCCTGTCCTTCTTTTTCCCTCATTCCTATAAAAAAATATAGACAGAGTCCTTTCTGATCCTTTCTTCCTCAAGTGTGATCAGAAAAACTTACGTAGAGTCCTTTACAGTCGTGTCCTACTCTCAGGCTGTTGGCCTCATAGTGTGTTACCTGGGTGGGCTTCTGAAGTGGTCTCCCTCCTTCCCCTATTAACTGCCAAGAATAACCTAAATATTTTTAATTTGTGAGCAATTGAAACTTTTGATTAAAGAGACATCATTTGAGACCTTTGAAAGAGAATTGCCAGGAAAATCACTTAGTTAAAAATAAACTCGCCAACAAAGTGCTGGTGTTGAGAGAAGTGTAAGGCTGAGTGATCAGCAGGTGGAAAGGATTCTGCTGCGAGGGGAAATATGGACTCACAAATGCCAATTAATCATGTCCTTCTTGCCCTCTGGCATCTACACCACTTGATAAATAGCCCTAAGTTCCAGGGGAGATGGGAAGTACTGTTATAGTTTAATTTCCCATAAAGAGGGCACTGGAAAGTTCTAGAAGGGAGAAAATGACTGGAGCCTGTAGCCACAACTCCTCACAGCAGTCCCCCAAACCTAGACCTTGGAATTGCATTTTTAGGAAAGTTAGATGTGGAGAGCAAGCATTTAGCCAACCACTGAGAATTCACTATCCCCGGCATTGCCAATGGGGAGAAAGAGCCAGAGAAGTGAGTTTTCAGGCTATCTCCTAAAGACAGGTCCTGCCCCTTGCCTGGCTATGCCTACCTCCTAGTGGGAAGAACAGGAAAACAGATCCTCTGCTAGAAGACAAATATGGCCTAAAGTAGCCAGGCAAACCAAATCAATTAAGAGGACTGGAAGCAAGTGCCAGAAGTTCGCTGAAACCAGTTTTGCTTAGTGGATAGAGCGTCAGCCGTGGACTGAACAGTCCCAGGTTCAATTCCGGTCAAAGGCATGTACCTGGGTTGCGGGCACATCCCCAGTAGGGGGTATGCAAGAGGCAGCTGATCGATGATTCTCTCATCGATGTTTCTAACTCTTTATTCCTCCTCTTTTCTCTCTATAAAAAATCAATAAAATATATTTTAAAAAAAAGAAAAAGAAAGAACCAGAAGTCCCCTCCCTCCCTCCATTCAAATGTAATCAATGTGGGCCAACCATTCTTTAAAATATATTTTATTGATTTTTTTACAGAAAGGAAGAGAGAGGGATAGAGAGTTAGAAACATCGATGAGAGAGAAACATTGATCAGCCGCCTCTTGCACACCCCCTACTGGGGATGTGCCCACAACCAGAGTACATGCCTTTGACCAGAATTGAACCTGGGACCTTTCAGTCCGCAGGCTGATGCTCTATCCATTGAGCCAAACCAGTTTCAGCAAGGATCAACCATTTTAAAAACTTGTTTTAATGTAATATGAAATCTCTTGAGAGGTGCCCCCCTCCACCTTGAATGAGAGACAATTCTTATAAATAAACTGGACTGATAGTTTTCCAGCTAATTTTTAAGCTTTTTATTTCTGTATTCTGTAGACATTTAGCATTTCTAAAATGAACTGAGCTGGAGCATGCCACATCCCTTCATTAGCTAAAGAAATGATTCTAGCAAATGCTGTCTGTTTCACAGGTTGTGGGCCATAAAGAAGGTCTGGATGTTATGGAGAGAGCTGATCCTTTATTCCTTTTGATTGGACTTCCTACTATTCCTGTCATGCTGATATTAGGCAAGATGATTCGCTGGGAGGATTATGTGCTTAGACTATGGCGCAAATACTCAAATAAACTACAAATTTTGAACAGTATATTTCCAGGTAAGGCCCTGAATTGTGCTGTAACAAGCATGCCAAATTAATCTTGTGGAAGAATCCCTGTATACAAAGGTATTTTCGCTATGCTAATTTATTAGCTAATACCCTGCATTTTCCCCTCTAGGGATTGGCTGTCCTGTTCCTCGAATTCCAGCTGAGGCTAATCCTTTAGCAGATCATGTCTCTGCCACCCGGATTTTGTGTGGAGCCCTTGTCTTTCCTACTATTGCGACTATAGTTGGTAAACTGATGTTTAGTAGTGTTAACTCTAATTTACAAAGGACAATCTTGGTAAGATGGCTTTAATATTACTTTTTTAAAGTGACTATACAAAAGAGAATGAATTGTATATTCTTATTTTTCAAAAATCAATGAGACTATATAAATCCTCTGGGGCTCCTCTGTTTGATCCTCACTGTCATGTGGTAGCAGTGAAATGGGAAGAGTCACGGCAGTAGCACTGGCCTTCCAGACTGTGCTGTGGGTGACTTCTCTCCCGGGTATGCAGGAACCCTCCCGCCGTCCCTATGCAGCAAGGCTATGGTGAGGAGCCTCTGCTCTGTCAGCCTGCGGCTCAAACCCTATCACAGACACTGTCTTGCTGAGAAACAAGTTTCTTGTCTTCTCTGTGCCTGTAGAATAAAGATAGTAATGGCAGCTACCTCAGTAAACTTTTATTTCTCTAAAGGTGTGTTAGAAAAAGCTAATTTTCCTTTTTATTTTAGGGTGGAATTGCTTTTGTTGCCATAAAAGGAGCATTCAAGGTTTACTTCAAACAGCAGCAATATTTACGTCAGGCACACCGCAAAATTCTAAATTATCCAGAGCAAGAAGAAGCATAAAACTGTGACTTTCTGTCGTTCTGCAGTCCTCTCACCCCTATGAGTCTGTTGTGTTGTTTTGATTCCATCATTAATGCACAGTAGTGGAGACTTGTGATAAGCTGCTGCTATCGTATTTTTAAGGAATATAATAAAGAAAGCACTTAGGGCCGGAGAACTCCTCTCAGAAATCACGGAACCTAAGGATGTGATTCGTTCTCATTATTCTGTATGTACTTCTTTTATGGCAGTCGTCTGAACCATTATATTAGCATGGGAAACCTGGCTTTGTTCATATTTTCTTCAGACAAAAATGTAAGGATCAACTTGTGCAAATATTGAGAAATGCCCATGCTGTTCTATTCACAGGCCTCTTGTACATGTTCACGTTCAGCGTTTCCGTAGAACTGGCGACTCAGTGAAGGTACCGAGGACTTTTCTCACTGGCATGATTTGATTACATGTAAACAGGAGTACTTGTTAATATGAGGAAAAGTAAATTAAATTAGTTATAAATAACAAACCAAAAATGTATGTAAACATTTAAATGATTATCTGAACAAATGCGATTTTGTTTGTTGTTGTTTTTTTAACCCATGTGATGTCCTCAAAAAAGTGTAGGGTAAAAATTCACAGGGCTTCCAGATCACTTTTTCACTATTAAATATTATTTATATAATGTTGACATCTCATAGTTCATAATGTAATTTTGACTGGTGCAGTCTTAATTACTGTGTGTGTGTGTGTGTGTGTGTGTGTGTGTGTGTGTGAGAGAGAGAGAGAGAGAGAGAGAGGTGTCAGATCCTTCCATCATGGGATAAGATTTTTAAATCCATATTTCTAGAAATTAGAGCTGCCGGATTATAGTAGTTTGAGCACAGAGAACGATTTTCAAAAATTTCAATAAAGTTATTTTACTCTTCTCTTTCATTGATTCAGTTATTCAGGTATTTGCTGATCACCTCCCGTTTGCCCAGGCACTATGGTGAGTGCTGTGGGATACAATGGTGAACACGACAGGCTTGGTTCTGTGTAGTTTACAGCCTAATTTCAGCAGATAGGAAACCAGCAGTGGTGAACCAAGGTGAGGCCTGGAGCTCTCTGTTGTTACTCCAGTCAGTGAGGAGATGCTTATGAAAATAAGTCTTGAGTAAATATTGAGGTCATTGGTTTTGGCTTAAGACAATTTATTATTTTAAAAACCAATACTGATGTTTTTAGATTTTAATTGCTTGTCATATTGATAAGAGTAGTATCTTAATCACTGTTTATCCAGTTTCATATTAATTTTTAAGAAGCAATTATTTATTTTAAGCCATTTTTAATAGTGGCCCTTTTAATGTTATTCAGCAATCTGAATGGTTTTGCAGTTATTTTCATTAATTAAAATTCAATTTTTAAAAGTTAGTTTTAAAAACCCTATTTATTTTCTTGTTTTCAGTATCTAATGCATGACGACAATAAATTTCCTCTTCCTGGTGAGTGGCCCCACTTCAGGAGGATAGCAAATAGAGATTGAGCTATGTTAGACCACAATAATGTATGTTAACTTTAGTAATTTAAAATTGGAATTTTATAGTATGGATGTTTTGAGTTATAATATGTTGATGTGAATGGCTATTGAACATTTAAAGCTGTCATTCTTTGGGAATATTTGACTGACAGTGGACCTTATTAAGAACACTGCTATAGTTCTGAAGGGGAAATAAAAATCTATTCTATATAAAAGTAACTTAGATCACATAACTATAATTATAAAATATATTGGCTTTTCTTTTGTTTTTAAGGAGAAAAGACACTAGATATTTCCTGTATAATTTTGTTATATAGAACAGCTCTTAAGCAGCCTTTACTATAGTTTACTAATCACACAGTTTCCCATTTACTACTTTAATGTCCTGAATGGGGAAGTAGCTGCTTGGACTTATTGGCATCAGGGCTTGTGAGGGTGAGAGAAACAACTAATCTTTTTGGGGCAGAGAAGCAGGGTTTCTGGGGCTGTGGGAGGGAATTGCAGGTGCCTGGGGACCACGAGGGGCCTCTGGCCTTGGAACTAAGCACTCACATCTAAAGAGCCCTGTTAGTTCGAGAAGTGCCATGTCCATTCTCTTTAGCAAGGAGGCCTGCACTCATGAAGCAACACGAGCTGAGCTGGCTCACGTTGGGAGACCTGGTTCAAATGCTAATTCTGCTTTTAATAACCTGACCTTGGTCAAATGACTTCTCTCTCAGCTACAGTTTTCTTCTTCACTGGGATGCAAGTAATACTCATCCGCAAAAGATATTTCTCGGAGTAAGAGAAATTAAAGGAACAGGCACTTTAGGCTTGAAATAGCACCTGTAGAGCAGCCATTCTAAATAGTCTGCTCACTCTCTAAGAAGATGGAGTGAAATAAAAGGCATTAGCAGACAGATTAAAAGGACACTGTAGACTTTGGGGATAGGTGGGTATATTTTGTGTTTTTCAACTTCACCTTGCTTTACTATGTAATTTTTATAAATTAATGTTTTAAATCTCTTACATGAAATTCAGTGACAACTAGAATTCTTTTTGCAAAAATTATCTCCAAAGTGGCTGAAAATATTGTTCCTCATTACATGATTATCAAATGACTGTGAAAATATATATAATTAAACTTAGTGACTTAGTCACTGCCTTGCTAACTGCTGTAATTTTTTTAAACATCTTGTTTTTAATATAGACTATCTCAGTACTGGCTGGATTAGGGTAAATAAAGAATATTTCTGTTCTCTAGGTGTATTTTGTTGAACTGCCAAAACAATTCTGTACCTACATAATTCTTTTTTTAAATAATAGTTATCAAGACAATAGCCGAAACCGGTTTGGCTCAGTGGGTAGAACATCTGCCTGTGGACTGAAAGGTACCAGGTTCGATTTCGGTCAAGGGCATGTACCTTGGTTGCAGGCACATCCCCAGTAGGGGGTGTGCAAGACGCAGCTGATCGATGTTTCTCTCACATCGATGTTTCTAACTCTCTATCCTTCTCTCTTCCTCTCTGTAAAATATCAATAAAATATTTTTTTAAATAGTTATCAAGACAATAGTTAGATTTTTATTTTAGAAAAAATCTGAGTTTTTAAAGAAATTATTAAAAGAATTTGTCTTAATTTTGTAATTAGGGTAGCTTAAATGCTAAGTTTGTTTTAATATTTTTAATGTATCATCTCACCTATCTTCAGAGCCATGTAGACTATGATTAAACAAGCAACTAGACAAAATCTGGGTAGTCTCATGGGGTATCTTAAAGTATGTGTAAGTGAATTGGAAGCACACACACACAAACACAATTTGTTTCCTGAGATACTAAGAACTTCAGTTTCATTCTAGGTGAGAATCTTTTAGAATGAAGACATCAAATACAGACCCTTCCATCTATGGGGATTGTTTTGTTTCTAGATCATTTCTTTATTAACACTAATAGAGGAGAAACAGCAGTTGGACAGTCCTGGATGCATACTCTAGCTGATACTTTAAATTAGTTGTAGCACAAGTTACTTTACCTCAGGCAAACCATCAGTTTCCTTATCAATAAAATCTATATATATAAAAGTCTAAGCAACTGTTACAACTGAAATGACCAGAACCACCGGTCGACCAGTCACTATGATGTGCACTGACCTCCAGGGGGAAGACAACACAGGAGCTGCCCCCTGGTGGTCAGTGTGCTCCCATAGCCAGCCAACCTTCCCAGGTCCCTCTTTTCCCCCTCCCCATACCCTACCCCAGAGAACCTCCCGTTGTCCCTCCCCTGTACCCCAGCAGGTGGCAGGCCCTGGCCATCCTGGCCCCAGTCGATCAGAACTGGGCGAGTAGGCCCTAATCACTTGCCAGGCCTAGGGACCCCACATATGCACAAATTTCGTGCACTGGGTCTTTATAAAATTGGGGGGTGACATTTGAGGACAGTTTGATAGGCAGAGAAACCAAATCTGTGCCTATTTAAGCAGAGGTTTGTTTGCCTATAACCCTTTCTGTAGGTTGCCTCCTCTATTACCTGCTACCCCACACCCCCATTGGAACTGGAGTGATGAAAGATGTTAACTTCCTAGAACAAATATGGTATCCTGAGCAGAGGGAAGGTTTGCAGCTGAGTGGTTGTGAGATAATCAACATGTACTACTTTATCAGATACTTGTTGAGCACCTGGACCCTGGGGTAAAATGAGGAATAAGCCTGCTTTGGTTAGTCTTAACACAAACAGATGTGCGTTTTACTGTGGTGTTACCACCACAAGATCATTAGATACAAGGAGAACTTTTTACAAAGAGAAAGACACCAATTGGCTGCTTCCTGTATGTGCCCTGACAAGGGATAGAACCCACAACCTACCAGGAATCAGACCCATGGCCTTCCAGTGTTTGGGATGCTAGAGTGGGAATTTATTCCACAAATGAACCAAACTCATGGGCCATCTTGGAATACTTTGAGCCAGTAGAAGATGTGCCCTTCCTAAATAGGACTGTTTATAGTTTAATATTAGCAGGAACCTATTACAGAAACAGGTAACGTGTCCACGGTCTTCTAACACTCATCAGTATTCAAATGTATCTGTATCAGTTCACATAATGGTACATCAAAAATAAGACCTGGAAAAGTGCACTATTTTAAAGTGCAAATCTTGATGTAGTTTTGCAAAATGATCATGTGGTATGTCAGGAGAGAAATAACAGGGAAAATGTAATACAAGGAATTGTTGACTGATAAGTAAATACTAAAGGCAGAAAAAAAGACTTTAAAAAATAAAAAAATAAAAAGTAGGGGCAATGAAAGCCATTGTCTCTAGGCTGAGGGAGAGTAGGCAATAAGGAAACAAATGCCTAAAAGAAGGCCTCTGCCCGCCCCCCAAAGCCGAGATCCAAACCCTTTGAAGAGGGACTGTGAAGAGTAACAAGAACTGGACTGTGGGCAGGCTGGAGCTGGGCTGCAGGAGCCACTAGCGCCCTCCTCTGTAAGCAACCCATCCTAGTCTATCCAACACCCCTGCCCCCCCTCCACCGAAGGGAAACCATCTTAACCTCTTCAGTTAATAACTTGGAACGTGCTTGGCAGTCATTTAACCCTGATATACTTGATTCACAGAAAGGGCCGTCGTGATTTAATACCATGCAAACAGGATAATAAATGGGCCATTTTCATATATTCTGATTGGGCTGTATATTGATATGGAGGACAATTGGAAAGTACCTGTCAAGCCAGGACTCGTTTGGCTCAGTGGATAGAGCGTCGGCCTGCGGACTGAATGGTCCCAGGTTCAATTCCGATCAAGGGCATGTACCTTGGTTGCAGGCACATCCCTAGTGGGAGATGTGTAAGAGGCAGCTGGTCCATGTTTCTCTCTCATTGACGTTTCTAACTCTCTGTCCCTCTCAATTCCTCTCTGTGTAAAATCAATAAAACATATTTTTAAAAAAAAGTACCTGTCAAAATTACTAATGCATGAACCCTCAGATCTAACTCCAGGAATGTATCTTAACATGCACTTGAGTACAGCAACATATCTACAAAGTTAATCTGGCACAGCAATGTGTGTAAAAAGACATTGGAACCAACCTAAATGTTTGTCAGTGAGGAATTGGTAAAATAAATAATGGTACATCCATAAAGGAATACTATGCAACTATAAAAAATGAAAGAGCTCTTTACATTTGTATATAAA